TAAAAATGTTTCTGATTTAGCACAAACAAAAGGGAGGATGTTTTTGTCCCTTTAGTGGAGATCCATTAAAATAAATCCATTAATTTCTTTAGAGAAGTTATCTGTGAACAGCTGGACATGTGTTGTGCCATCAGGTTGCACCCTGAAACTGATTAAATTGCACTAGACCAGCCCATTTATAGAAATCTGCCAACTGTTTGACAGAGGCTCATTTTTAATGTCTTTTTTGTTTTCTGCAGTCCCTTAGCCACTGTGGGAAGGTTTATTGAACACTCTGCAACTGATGGAGATGGCTCAGCATGTTGAACCACATGTTTGGCAGGCCTGAAGAAAGCTCATTGTGGATGACAGAGTGTGTGAGAGAATACACAAGATGAAGATAGACAACCAAAGACAAATATCTTTCTTTTTTGGTAGAGAACCCAGTGCAGAGAGCAGGAGTGACAAGTCAAATTCTAAATGAGTCAGAACCACACCAAATATCATCAGTCATTCTGAGCTAACACCCACAACTTACACATGATATTGCCATATTAGCTTTTTGTATAGTACCTCCACCTAGGTATTGTACACAGAACATAGTCAAGTGTGTTCAGACAGCAACAAAAAATGAGCCAGGCTCAGCAGACCAGAATTTGTGTTCAACAGTATGTTATAACAGAAACAGATATGACTTACTTCTTTTTTCTTTTAAAAAAATAAGTCATGTGCACATCTCTTTGTAGGAAAAGTGTGTGGGATTAAACGTTAAAGTAAATTTTTTCTTATCTGCATTTTCTTCCCTGGGATAATGTGGGTCAGTAATGTAGGATAGGTTCAAGGATAGAACTTGATGATTTTAAGCAAGCCCTAGACAGAGTACCTTTTATTCTCAAGCAGGAATGGGGGGACATATTGGGCTCCAGATGCTGATAAATTACTTATCCCATTGCCTCTTACCATTGCTAGGACTGATGGAAATTTGAGTCCAAAAATACCTGAAGGGCTACAGGTTCCCCACCCTTCTATAAAGTGTAGTGCAGAGGTGGACAACTTCTAACAATCTGGGGACCAAATTTCCACTCTCAGAGCCCACCACATGAATGTAATAGGCTCATAATTCTTTAAAAAATCTAGACAAGAAATTGGAGGCAACTTCCATTAAAAAAAAAAGGTCAAGAGGGACATCAAAGTAGTTCGGAGGGTAGGATGGACTTTAAAATGGCCTTGGAAACAACATGTGATCTCCACACGTTTAACCATCTTCAATGTGGATAGGACTGCCAGTCCAGGATAGTTCCAGGCCCTGATGTTTCTGGGCCCAAACCCAATACCTAAGTACAGTAGCCCCTTGTGATGTTATTAAGCATTATCCGCTGAGGACCAGCAACAGGTGTTTCCAGCTTGACATTCAACCACAGAGAGGGTGTGTGCGCATGCATGTTGTACTTACACTCAGGAATAGCGCAGTTGTGGCAATATTGTGCAGTTTTTGCTCAGTATTTTCACATTCCAAAGTGGTTCAGAAAATTATTCTAACCAGAAACACACATGAGTTCTTTGGCTTCGTTCCCACTAAGATTTAAAATGAATTGCTGATCGGGTTATATGTTTGTTATTCCCACTTGAAACTGGTCTCAAACTGACTGCACTTGGTTCCAATCAAGATGAAGGGAGGCAAATGCAAAAGAACCGCTCTTTCCCAACACTAGTTTTTTTGGTGGTTCTTTTGAAAAAAAGAAATTAGCAAGCATGTTCACCAAGTGGGAATGAAGGACCTGAATTGCATCAGACTGAAGGGGATCCCTCACTAATATCCCATCCCTCACTAGTTTGGGGGGAAATCCACCATTTCCTTCCTCCCCTTTCCCAGGACCCATCCTACAGTCCAACCTTCTGTCCAGGAGGAATTCCAAAATGCCCTCCATTTTGAGCTTGACTAGGAAGCATGTCTCCCATGTCTGCAAGGCTGGGAGGGCAACACCTCACCCAGGGGGGAGTCCCTCATATGACACCCATGGCTGAGGCATCCCAGGATCCCAGGAGAGAGTCCTCCATATGACACCCATGACTGATGCATCCCAGGGGACTTGGAGGACATGGGGAGTTGAAGT